ATTTTTGTGCATATTCCAAGAAAGGTGACCCAATAAAATTTGGAAATTACTGAACAATCTTTTGCTGTAGATAATTTTTTAAAGAAATGGTAATAACTGTGCATCCATAAGGTGCTAAGAGAAATTCAATCCAGATTTAGAAGAAGATTTGTCATGAGGTACACCACTACTGATGTTTAATGGAACTTGTTGGAAAGTAATGAATACCAGAAAGATGTTGACTTGTTTTATTGACTATGATAAGATTATGTGGATCTTAACAAACTCTGCACGATATTGCAAAGAATGAAAATGTCAAGACACTTAATTGTGCTCAGGTGGAATTTGTATACAGACCAGGAAGCAGTCCTTTAAACAGAACAAGGAGATACTACATGGTTTAAAATCAGGACGTTTGTGTTTCAAGTTGTACCTGCCACCATATTTATTTGATCTACATGCTGAGAAAATCATCTGAGTAGCTGGACTATGTGAAGAAGAAGGTGGCATCAGGATCGGAGGAAGACTTACTAGCAACCTGTGATATACCTATAGGACATCCTTGCTTGTTGAAATCAAGAAGGACTTCAAGCACTTGCTGATAAAGATCTAGGATTGCAACATTCAGTATGGATTACAACTCAATGTAAAGAAAGCATAAAGTCTCATATGCATAATAGATCAAATTATGACAAATGGAGAAAACATAAAACTTGTCCAAGATTTCATTTTACTTGGCTCCACAATCAATGTTCATGCAAGCGGCAGTCAAGAAATCCAAGGCTACCTTGTATTGGGCAAATCTGCAGAAAACCTATTACAAGTGTTATACAGCAAAGATGTCCCTCTGACGGCCCGATGCAAGCCATGGTCTTTTCAATCACCTCATGTCCATATGAAAGCTAAACAGTGAACAAGGGAGACTGGAGAAAAATTGATGCAGAATATTGAAGTACCATCGACTGCCCAAAGAACAATCTCTATTAGAAAAGTACAGCCAGAATGCCAATGGGGGAGATGCTCTATGATTGACGTGGGGTGACTGTTCAACACCCCTTTATATGATTCAACGATTGAACCATTGACTTGTATGATAGGTAAGTTATGTGCCAATAGAACTGTTGGAGAAAATACAATCAAAATAAAATATGCATTACATAGAACAACAAATAAATAAAACTTTTTAAAAGCAGGAATGGTGTAATTTCTTTTTTTTTTTTTTAGAAAAGCCATTTTTAACTTTGAATTAAACCTCCACGTAGCTTCAAGCCACCAGGACACAAGCACCCCAATACCCTTAATCTGCTCCTCAGCTCTTCTGCTGAAGAATTTGGCCTTCACGATGACGGGCTGCTTTGGAAGTTTACCTTTCTTCTAGCCCTAGAAGAAAGAAATGGACTTATTATCACACCAGGTCCCAATACTGATAGGTACAAAGAAAGATGCCCACCATTCCCACCTCCCAGGAGCCTGGCCTTGGCAGAGCATGTTTCTGACCAGGGCACTAGTGGAGGCATTGATTGCCCCACCAGTGAATCAAGGCCAGCAGACCCTCTCCGAGGACTCTGGCACACCAAGACAAGAGTTGTGTCAGGATGTGACTCCAGTCTCAGACGTAATTTCTTTTTATAGACTTTGGACAGGGTTTTAGGAGAGACCAGACCATGGAAAAGGACATCGTGCCTGGTAAAGGAGAGGGTCAGCAAAACAGATGACCCCAAGGAACTGGACGGACCCAGTGACAACGACAATGGAATCAAGCATTCGAGCACTGCGACCATGGGAGAGGGTGCTAGCGCCGACAGCAGGTCATTGTGCTGGAGGTAGGGCACTATGAGACGGAGCAGACTCGATGGAACCTCCCAACAGCAGAAATGCTCTAGGAAAATGTTCCCACACAGCTGACCACCGACAAATTCTGCATCTTGTCTTCCTCTCTAGCACCACAAAGGTATTCAAAGCACAGGCTGTGCAATGGTGGTTGGCCTTGCATTTATCAGCAGAACTTGCCCTTTCTAGAGCTCCATACCTCACCCCAATAATGCTGCCAGCTTAGTAGGAGTTGCCCGTGTTCTTTTGTTTTGCATTTAGTTTAGCATTCTCCAGGGAAAAAATGGCATTTTTTCATGAAATGACTGCTGGAACTAATGGGGCTGTTGTGTTTGTGGAGCTGTTTCAGTGACGCTAACTCGGGCTGGTCAGAACTCTGGGTCAAGATACTGTGCTCATTAGCACTGGGTTGGCACTAGTCCACCCCTGGGAAACAGGGCTGGTTGAAATCAATTTCTCCTATGAAATGACAAGACTCAACAGTAAACATCTGTCTCACATATTTAGGAAATCTGTGTGGTACATAGCACATTTAAAGTATCTACATTGTATTGAAATGGTATGAAGAGATTTTAGTTTCATTTTATTTCAGGTAATACTAACCGTTGGATTTTACTAGTTTTCATTATATAGACTTGAGACATCATTGCTGTCCATCAAATTTAATACAGAT